CCCCCCACCCAGCCTTGCTCCCCACCGGCTGGTTCCCCCCCAGCCAGCCCTGCTTCCCACAGTCCGGTTCTCCCCTTTCCCCCTGATCTCCCCTGGCCAGTCCTGCTCCCCCCTGGTCTGGTTCTCCCTCCCCCACATCAGAGGGCAAGTGTGTCCGATATTTTTTTAAGCCATCTGGTAACCCTAGGAAAGGGTGGACGCTTGGGGAGATGGGGCGGGGCTGGGGCAGCGAGCTCTCAGCACTGCCTGGACCATGGTGTTGGCGCACCCAGCCCTAACCCCCTGATCTCCCCTGGCCAGTCCTGCTCCCCCCTGGTCTGGTTCTCCCTCCCCCACATCAGAGGGCAAGTGTGTCCGATATTTTTTTAAGCCATCTGGTAACCCTAGGAAAGGGTGGACGCTTGGGGAGATGGGGCGGGGCTGGGGCAGCGAGCTCTCAGCACTGCCTGGACCATGGTGTTGGCGCACCCAGCCCTAAGCATGAAGCACCGTACTCCCGCGGCAATTTAACTGGCCCCCGGGGCTCCAGCCACCACCACTGCTGCAGTAGCAGGGGTGGCAGCTGGGAGCCCCAGGCCCCTTGGGCAACTGCTGCCTTTGCCCTCCGTCCCCACCCACCCGTCGGTGGGCCTGCCTAGGCAGAGGTGGTGGAAGGGGGGCAACAGAGGAGTGACTGCTCCACAGGCTGAGGGCTCCATTCAGGGCCACAGGAGCAGGACCAGGGCAAGGAGGCATCGGCATGGGAATGGGGGGTGCTGTAGCACCCCCCCAATTTTACATGGGTTCCCAGCTGTTGCCAACCCCATGCCTGGGGTGTGGGGGAGGGTGTGCTGCCCAGGGCTCTGACACCAGCCCTATGCCTGGGAGCCCAGCTGCCACTTGTGTAAGTTAGCAGCTGCCATTTTGGTCACAGATGCCATTTTGGACCATAAAACAACAACTAGGAATCCATCTTGGTGTCTCTTCTGCCCCTTCCTTTCCCACACTTTCCACCTGGTGGCAGGAAACCCTGGCAGTCATATGGGTACAATCTGCCCAGTGACTGAAATCACATAGGCAGGGGCTAGACTGGTTACATCAAAATCTGCCCAACATCTGCAGATTTTACAGCTCTAGACACTGCCACCGTTCCAGCTGCTCCTGTTGCTGGTTCTGACCCCTCCTGACCATCCGGAGCTGTGTCGCAAGAACGAGGGAGAAAGCTGCAAGACATGGTACAGTGTTGGTGGCTCTTTATGTAGCCACCTTCTTGTCCTTTTGGGTCCGTCTTGTGTCACAGTTTGGTTCAGTGTATTCTGTTTCCTAAATTCCTTTGTAACAGTGGGGTCCTTATAGATCTGTATGTCCATCAGCTGTATAGTTAATACTTAGCTGTCATACCTCGTTTATCTCTCTTTTCCTGTTAATAAAATCCCTTTAGTTTACCACTCTTGGTCTGTCTTCTGACCTTTAGAGTAAGCTATTAACAACGCGATGATAGACGCAGGTGTGAGGATGGGCCTGACCATTGAGATTCCTTGTGGCCAAGGTTTCTCGGTGAACACTTGGGCTCCACACCTGTCCCCAGCCCTGTTGGGGTACCTGCCTCCTGGAGACATGGGCCTGCTCCTGATCCCAGTGAGGTGGTTACATACAACCACGACATGCACCTTGCTGTCTCATCCCACAGCATCAGCTCTAGACAACTGCCTATGACCCCCCTAAATTTGGGGGCGGAGCCGGCCCAAGCTACGGGCTGACCAGGCTAGCGCCCGGAGCGCCCCATTATAGGGGGCGCTGCGCAGGGCTGCTGGACCAGGCGGGGCCGCACATGCACCGGACGCCCTGGGGGTAGGGCCATGCATGTGCCGGGCGCCCGGGCCACACATGTGCCGCACTCCTGGGGCGCACAAATGGCTCCGGCCGGCCCTGTTTGGGGGCCCAAAATTTAGTGGTATCCTGCTTAGTTGAGTATTCTTCATATGTCTAAGGATGGCCCTGGATGTGAGAACATGAGGATAGGCTGCGAATAGCCAGCGATGGAGATGGGATCTGGAAAAAGAGGCTTTACTGTTTAAACTTCTGCTGCACAGATTTGGAAATAGGCTGGTAGAGGGATACCCTGTCCCAGGGGCTGACAGGCAGCACAAGCTGTAAAACAAGGACATGACATAACTCAGCAGCAGTTATCAGGGCCTTGACAATTGTTCGAGCTAATGTCTGCATCTCTCTTACTGCGCTTACGATCACCATGTGCTAAGAGAGTATGTCCTGGATTTCGTCAGAGTTCAGCTTTGTATAAATCCAAGAAAACTATGGCTTCCTTTGACCTATCCCTTCCTCTTTTCTTGAAAATAAATTCCATTTTCATCAGCAAACCCCAGACAAAGGCAGACAATCTTCTGCCGTGCAGTTGCTGAGCTAGGAGCCCATCTTCTTGCTGAAACTCAAATTCAAAACCTTATTTTTCCACTGTGAAACCACACAAGCAAATAGTAGAAAAACCATTTGCCTCAAAAGGTGATTATAACCAATATTTTTCTGATGCTTGGCCTGATTTTGGCAGAAATGTCAGGTTAATATGTTTCTGTCAAGCTGCCTCCAACATCCTCTCAGGTAATAAAAATCCCAGTTGTGTCCTTCACGGTTGTTAAATCTCTAGCTTTCCTCCATGCTGTAATTCAGTGCTGCCAGTGAAAAATGTATTGGCATATTGAAACTGAAGAGGCAGCTAAAAATGGAGTGGCTTGTTGATCAGACTTTCCATGCAGCGTGGTTGTATGTATTTTATTTTATTTATTTATTCTTTATTTTAAAATATTTTTACCCCATCTCTCTATTTAAAACGAGGCGGCTTACAAAACTTTAAAAGACAATATATTAAAAAAGTAGAATAAGAGACCCCAAGAGGGAGACATGAAACCTACTAAGACACACACATACACACAAACTCGAACTTATTCTGATGGAATAAATAGGCTAGGGTTAGCTATAATGCAGGCAGGTGCTCAGTGAGCTATTCACATGTGATCCTGGCTGCAGCACTATCAACTTTGCTTCCGTCTGAATTCCGTGGCAAAGCTGGTATTAAATTTAAATGGGAGTAGAACTGGGGTCTTGGTTCCTCTGAGACTCCCCCTGGTTAGATGATGCAGACAAATCCATAGGGACTAGAACGTATGCAGCAAACTCATCTTAATTGCTGGGGAAAGGCAGGATTTGAATTCAGGACTTCAGATATGAAAGACCCGTGCATTGTCTCCTCAGTGAATCTCTTTAGCCCTAGGAGAAGACAGAGAGAATATTGTGTAACAGTTAACATGCAAACCCATGGGAATTATAACCTAGAATTCCTAATTCCTGGGCACTTGCACCGTAAACATTTTCCCCTTTCAACTAGGTGATGAAGCTCAATTAGTTGAAATTATTTTAAGGTAGTTCATGCACTTTGAGTAGGAGAGGCACAGTTATGACCACTGGTAAAAAATACCCTGGGATTTGTTAGATTTGTTTTTTTTAAGCAAAAAGATGGCCCTTTCTTTCCAGGTGACGTATAGTACTACAGCAAGTGACCTGTTCTGGCTACGATACAACAGGGGAGTTCCAGCTTCCAGCCACCGAACACAGGATTGCTTGCTTAATAATACATAAGTAATGTAATGGGAATTTTTTCAGTCTACAATACAATACCCTATTTACAGATCTTTTACTTAAAATATGCTTATTTGCATAATTGTGCTACTTTCCCCCCCTGTATCTGCTCTTCAGTGCACCCTTTAAGTATGTAAAATAAGTTCCCTTTTATGTTTTCCCCATTGATTTTTAAATAGGAAGCCAAAACAAAGTTCTGTCTATGTACATTTTAGCACCAGATTTTCAAAGGAAAGCTGATGCAGCTGTTGCAGATACAGGGTTGAGGTAGGAGTGCCAATTTTGAGAGAGATATTTACACAGCTAGTTCTATACTTAGGTGAGGCAAATATGTACAAAATACTTGTATGAAGTACTGCATTCCTAACGTATGCATGCAGCTGCATGGGCTTTGCTTGGAAAGTCTATCCCTTAAGGATTTAAATGGCTCCAGTCCATCTCATTTAAGCTCTCCTTTTATGTTCCCAGCTGCTCTTTATAAACAGCATCAAGCTGGCGTGCCAACAGGGGGGCAAAGGGAGCAGTTGCCCGAGGGTCTGGTGATTCAAAGGGGCCCTCGGCTCTTGGCTGTAGCCCTTTAAATCATCATTGGAGTGCCCTGTGGTGCATTTCCTATGGCTGGGGGTGGCAGTGGGGGTGTTATACTCCAGTTGGCACTGGGGGCTAGCTGCCCTGGCCTCCCCCCTTCCAGGAGCACAGTACCACATGCCCCCGCCTAGCTCAGGGGCCCATGCAGGCTGTCAGCTCTCCTGGAATCAGATTTTTGACTTGTATCTACTTATAGACTTGTGTCAATGGGAAATAGAGGTTTTAAAATCTGCATGGAACGCTGTAGCTGGTGCAATATGAGGGAGGTTAGTTTACTTTCTCATTTAAGACAAGGCTGATGGAATTCGGGACAACTACAAGTATTCGACATGTAATTGCTAATTCCTCGTGTTGAGTTTAGGGCTGAGAAGGATGGCCTCTGGAAGGATAAACATGACCTAAGAGAGGTGTAAGTGTAACCCACATACCTATGCTACGTCTACACTGGCCAGTCTCGCGCAAGAATATATACAAATAATATTCATCACGTGCCTCATTTGCACACTTAATGAGCCGCCATTTTGTGCAAGGGGCTTTTGCGCAAGAAGGAGCAGTCTACATTGCCATGCCTTATTTGCATTTTTTTTGCGTAAGACTGGCTAATGTAGATGTAGCCCTAGTATGGTTCACTGTCCCATGTAGTGGCTGTAGAGCTCACTTGTTCTTATCTCTCGCTGTAAGTGGTCTAAGCCAAGAGCCAGCTGGCTTTATAGCTCAAGCTGTGGAGGCTCCTTCACTAAGCTCCAGAGATTCCAGGTTCTGTTCTGCCTGCTGGTGGTTACATAAACAAGTTGTGTATCCGCATTTGCCTATTGCAACAGTACCAGTCTGAAACATTGAAAAGTGTAGCACAAGCACTTAGAGGTGTATCAGCTGTCAATCATCTCTCTCCATCTTCCTTTTAGGTTTCCTTGTGATCAGATAAACAGGGGAGGGGATGTGTTGCTCTTAGCCCTACATGGATTTCACAGTTGTTACCACCAACCTGGCAGGCATTTGGGACTCCCTCTAGTTCACACAGAAGTTGAACAGTCCAGCCCTGCTAGCTATTTCCCAGCAGTGCTGCAGCTTTTTGACTAGGCAAAGGAGGCCATGTGCCATTGTATATGGCCTGGCTCTGTGTACCCAGCTTGGGTGTTGTTCACAAGCAGCAGCCAGAATTTGAAACACATCTGCCTTCAACAGCAGAACAGTTTGAAGAGTCAGGTTGAACAGAAGAGAGCAAGCTGCCAAAAATGGAAATCAGAAATAGGTTTTTTTAATTGCACCATTGATTTTAAATTATGTTTTCAAAACTAGTGGTGGTGGTGGTTGGAAGGAGGGGAGGGGTAAACTGTCTGGAAGAAACCCTACAGCTTCTGTTACAATAGCCTCAGGAATGGAGGTTGTTTGTAACAATGAGGGTAAAAAGGTTATTTCAAAATCTTACAATGGAACATCAGCTTATTACAGCTTTGAAATTTTGAGGCAGAAGAAAAATGCTTATGTCAGACTAGCCAGAGACACCGTCCACCAACTGGGACTTATCCTCATCTTAGGAAAGTCAACACTCATTCTGAACCAGAGAAGAGTTTACAGGGGCCGTGTTGGACTCGGTGCAGGCATGAGTAATCCTGCCTCAATCCAGGCTCCAAGCCGTGGCGCAGATCATTCGGTCACTCTTGCAGTACCCCACCAACACCACAAGGGAGTACTGGAGGCTTCTGGGGCAAGTGGTAGCTTACACTTATGTAGTCAGGCATGCTGTACTGAGGCTCAGGATGCTACAAGTGAGACTCGCCTCCACTTACCATCCTCGTCAGGAGAGTCTAGACTTGGCAGTGCCAGTGCCAGTGCCAGGGAAAGTCTGAGAATCCCTGAATTGGTGGCTGGATTCTCGCATAGTCCGCGAGGAGTCTCCTTCAGCACATCCCAACCTTTGCTGACCTTAGTAACAGATGGGGCACACAAACACACGGGTTAGTGGTTGCAGGGTAAACTACCTCTCCATATCAAAGTCAAGGAACTCGGAGCAGTTTGCTTAGTGGCGTGAGAAGTCTAGCAGGCCAAAGAAGGTCGCAGCAAGACAGTTCTGGCTGACAATACCACCACCATGTTCTGTAGAAACAAGCAGGGTACAGCTCGCTCCTCTCTACTCTCCTCATGAGGGACTTCTGTATGGCCTGATCCATCCGGCTGGAGGCATCTTATCTCCCAGGAGTGCAGTATGGGTTGGCAGACCATCTCAGCAGATCATTTCTCAATCACGGGTGGTCCATCCCTCCAGATGTCCTACATTCCCTCTTCCACAGGTGGGGTTTTCCTCAGGTAGAGCTGTTTGCTAGCAGGAAGCATCAAGTGGTCTGTTCTTTGCAGAAACACAGTCCAGTCCATCTTGGACAGATTCATGTTCCCATGGCGAGATTGTCCAATGTACGCTTTTGCTC